GAGCGACAGCTTCATGGCGAATCGGATCCCAATCGAAGTGATCAACAGCAACAGCTTGAGAGCAAGATGAGGCCGGCAAGTTCTGCAAGATTTCACTGCAAGCGGCACTGCTTCACTTTCAACAGGAGCACAATTCCCTATCAAAGCTTTTTCTCAGCATTGGCGCTTCTTCTGCATCTTGCTAATCCATGGCAGAGCCCTCATCGCTGGTGAACATGCATTCAGCAGATCGTACGTCTTGAAAATTGACCGTCTTCAATTGACTGGAATTGAGGTTTTCGGGTGCTTAAGATAGGACCCCCCCCCAAACCCCTCCTCTCTCTTTAGATCCGAAGAAAAGTGAGTCTTTGGGAGCTAGGTGTTGAATGTCCTTATAGCAGGTTGGAGGCCATTGCTAGTAACTTGGAGGCCATTGCTATTAGGTTGGAAGCTATTAGATTACCTTTTTCGTGATGTCCTTTGTTTCTCACCACACCGCTGTTGTGGCCGGCTTCCAAGGCCCGACACCGGACCCTTTGGCGCGGATCTCAGCATGTTTGCCAAAGAACAGGTTGCACCAAAACCGCCTGTGAATCCCTGTGATCAATAGTTGTTCGATCATTTATTATTCAGACTTCTGACTTTTTGTGCAATATGATTATATATATATATATATTGTATACACATGTATATACACTATGACACTATGCATACATACCATACGCTTGTTGTCCAAACGATCACATTCCGAATCCGTCGCCCCCAGCGAATCAATGTCACTCTGAGTCTCATGAGTCACCGGTCGAAAACGTGCCACATGTCAACCGGTCTACAACTAGAGGGTTCAGTCTGGATTGATGAGCAAAGTCTCATGAGGGTCAGTCTATAGTTGATGAATCCTTTCTACCATCAGTGGTGCTGCCAGGATGCTTGGCTGCGAGGCTCCTTCTGCAACCCCTGGCGCCTTACCAATGCGCCTGGAGCTCTGGGAAGTAGTATGGTGAAGGATCTCAAATCTCAAAGAAAGCAGTTGATCAATGTGTGAAACCTCCACTTAGGCTGGAAAGGTTTGACAGGTGGGAACAAGAGGTTGATTGAACATTGTTTTTTTTTTTTTTTAAATCATGTCTACATGCGGGATGGGTGGGATTTGTTGATGGGAGACAAAAGAAGAAGCACCTTTTTTGGGGGTATTCATCAAACTTTGGCTGCGCATTTGAGAGTATACATTTGAGGGGACATACACAAGAGCACGCTGAGAGCACATATGGGAGCACACTTTCAAGAGCTCACAGTTGACACCCGTGCGAGAGCATGCATGTGAGACCACACATTCGAGAGCAGCTCATGAAACGAGTGCGCAAATGAGAGTACACACAGAAACAATATGAAACAATCGCACACACACACATATTATGGGTTTTTGAGCACACATACCCGGGTTCCCGGTAGGAGAGCACTGAAACGGTCTGAAACCCGAAACGGGACCACCGGAGCTGGACCCGGTTGCGGCAACGCGGGTCGGAGCTTGGCGGGTCGGCACCGAAGAGGCCACGTGAGGCGGCCGCCCTGAGCCAGAAGTGGTGAACCTCAATATACCTTTTATATAAGTGTTTAGATGAAGTGGTGAACCTTATCCAAACACTCCATCTATGCATCTATGCAGCCATTGACCAGCCCAACCACCCCAATTTTTGGCAAGGGCAGCCGGGCAGTCCGAGCGGGTTTTGTGAAGCGAACCTGCATCGAGAAATCGTGGCATCGGGCGCCACACGGGACGTCCCGGCTGCCGCTGCGGACCGAAGGGCTGAAGCGTCGTCCCGGCACGTCGGAGGCAAAATGCCGAGGCCTTCGGAGAAAGACTGACAAAGAGACATATAGAGAGAGACACAGAGAAAGAGAAAGCGAGAGGGACATCAATGAAAGAGAGGTGCATCTAATGTCAAGTCCGGAGTAATAGCCCACCCTAGTGGTGGTAGTAGTAGTAGTCGTAGTCGTAGTCGTAGTCGTAGTCGTCGTCGTGGTCGTCGTGGTCGTAGTCGTAGTCGTAGTCGTAGTCGTAGTCGTAGTCGTAGTAGTAGTAGTAGTAGTAGTAGTAGTAGTAGTGGTGGCATTTGGCCACCTATATTACGTTCAATTTTGATGAGTTTTGGAGGCTGTCTGGGCTCGGATTAACAAAGGGAGGTTGTAAATCCTGAGTTGACACTACTTGGAGCGGCTTCACAAAGGGTCGACCTAGGCCGGACTATGCCGCATGGGGCTTTGATTTCCGCCTGCTGGCCGTGACCTCAAATTGCGGGCTTTCGGCCTCCCAAAGACCTGGCTGATAGCGGGGTGTAGTGAGATGACCATGTTCCACACAGAAACTGATTGGTGCTTAGTATGGAATGAATGCGTAACCAATAGAGATTCCTTTAGGATCCATTCCCCCATTCCCTACTAAGTGCCAGTTAGCAAATTAGCGTATTTTACTGTAATCCTGATTGCTGTGGGCAGCAGAGAAGATGCGTAGTACAAGGCTGCAGCTCTGGCGGTGCCTACCTTGTAGTCGTTTTGACAGTTTATTGTGCTCCATCCATTGTGGGTGTGTACCCATAAGGGCCAAGGTCACTTTGTTCATGATTTAGTTGAATTCAGCCAGCGAATCCGCACTTGCTGGCTTGCCATCCTGACATATCCAGGGACTCACACGCCCATTTAGTGCTGGTCTAGTTGGGAGGTCTAAAGGATAGAGTTAGCACTGTAAAAGCCGGCAAAACAAAAACAGAACACTAGCGATTTCTGGCTGTCTCCCTTCCTTCCCCACTGGCTTCGTCATGCAAACGGATCAACTGCAACGGATTCCACGTGTTCCATTTTGTTCACCCATGAGATTCTAAGACCAAGACCTCCAAGGGGTGGTTAGTGGACACCCCGAATCACAGCTGGGACATGTTATTTTTTCAATCAACTTGAGACGGGAGATGTATCGCCACAGATTGACTTTGCAGCACACATGGTGACTGGTGTGAACACCATCCTCAGTGTCCAAACGTTTCTTTTGCAAGTTGCCTTTGGACCTGCAAGAGAACATCAAGTAAACCCACTTCACAGGATGAACCTCAGATACAAGAGGACGCTACTAGGGGCTCCTGGCATCGCTACTAGGAGCAAGAACGCTATTAGGGGCTCCTGGCCTTGCTACTAGTAACAAGAATGCTACTAGGAACAAAGGGCTTAACTTCTTCCACAGCACCGTCCAGCCCGCATCCAACCCCCTCATCGCATACCCCAGGTCTCACAGAGCGTGAATGAGCAGCGCGAAGCATTGGAACTCTTGTTAAAGGCGGGGGTTCTTGCAAGACAACATAAATCCTGTTTTACCTGTTTTTGTCATGGTAAGACAGCATTGTTTTCTGGTTTGTACTGCTTGTGCTGCAGGCAAACAATGGGTCACCGATGCTACATGGGTCACAGATGCTGTTGGTTCAGCGTTGCTCAGGTCAAAATCAATCCAAAGAACCATCTCTCCTGGACCACGGACCATGGGGAGCTTCAACGACCTGAAAGCATCCTTTTGGAGGTCTACGGCCCCGTTGGAACTGCGTTGCGCAACTCCTTAGATCGTTCATGATCTTTCCTTGGTCCAGGAACCATTGCATCACGAAGTTTAATGACGTTTATTTCTGTTTTGCAGGCTATATGTCCATTTAAGAAATGCATCCAACCAGCCAACCACAGACGACAGGTTTGTTAGGTGTTGTTTCGGGCATTGCAACCTCGCAAATGGGACCATTCACTGGGTTGAAGTTCAACGAGTTTACGTTGAATCCGAGAAAACCACACACCTATAAGCTCCCCTCTATGGTCATCACCGGCTGGGGGGCAGTGTTTGCTTCAGGTAGCAATGAATGACGGCTTGCTGTCCCAAAGCACGGCCAAAATCAGTGTCTGATTTGGAAGAGGATCCCAACATAGCAAGAGAAGTGGTGATTCCCACCAATCACGTCGCTCGTTTGGACGCATCGGCACGGCACGCATCGGTGGATCTGTGCTGTCGATTGGCACCCGAAGACACATCGACCCTGTCGGTCCAGAACCTCAACACTGGCGCAGAAGCTCCCCAAACGCACTGAGCAGTTTAAAGGTGACGCGGTGACGCACTTTAGATCTAGAACGTTTCGAACATGATATGTGTCCATACCGTTTGAAGGTTTTGAACCTACGTAGACTCTTGAGAAACAACAACTCCCACATGTCATCCGCTCTTCTCGCTCGACTGTGAGGCCCATGGTGCTAAAGCTTTTAGCCTCACGACGGGCGAAAAGCAGCGCAGCGACATCCATGGGTTTGAGCCGAAAAAAATGCATTCCTAGGAAACCTTTGGTTGCCTGTATGTCCGCCGGCCAAAAAAACTCGCAACACACACGAAAAAGGACATGGTTTAATAACAGTTATAGTCACTATACCAGGACCCTCCAAGGGGCCCCTTCGCTGTGATTCGGGGCATTCACCACCCCTTGGAGGTCCTGGTATGATGCTTAAAGCGACCTGACTGGACGGTCAAGCGACCCGAGTCGACCCGACCCCGCGGTCTGTGTTTTGAGTCGAGTTCTGGATTGAAGGTGAAAGAGATGGTTTGGCCCAGCAAATGGTGGAGACAGAACATTTTGAGAGATACCAAATGGTGGACCAATCCGTGGACCAATCCATGGTGGGCACCTCCTGTTTGGTCGAGTCGACCATCGGTGTTTGGTAGGTCTGGTTCAGTCGTCTGGTTCGGTCGTCTTCGGGGCCTGAACGTCCACGGTAAACCATAAGGACGTTGGAGGGGGAAGTACTTTTTGGGTCCAATCCGAGGGGAAATCCAGGCTGAGCTCGCTAGGAGGTGTCTTTCTTGGGGCAATCTTGAGGCCAGTTTGTTGAACAGCACGCCAGCTACCTGCTCTGTGGTCGTGTGGCTCGAACAAGCTTTGCGACCGACTGCCTCCCGTGACGCTGCGTGACGCAGCGGGACCCGGTCGCTTCAACCTTGGCCACTCATGTCGTCCCTGTGGGAGCCTCAGGTCAAGGCTGCTGAAAGAACGATTCATTAGGTTGGAGGCCATCCGCCAGTAGGTTGGAGGCCATCCGCCAGTAG